CTGTTTATTGCCATCTGCCATTTGCAGCTAATTTTATGCGAAATTTATTTAATAAATATGCTAAAAATGTTGCCTAGCTGCAAATGAGTTGGCGCTGCTGCTGCAACGAGTTGTCTCTGTTTATAATTAAGTGCTAAAAATTTTATGTTTATTATTTACGGGCAAAAGCTGAAAAAAATTGAAAAAAAAAAAAAAAATTAACTCTGCCAGGCGATTGTCATTGAAAGCGGCGCCACCTGTCGGCCATTTGTCTGCAACTGCGTCAGCGTTTTAGCAACAACAACAACAACAATTAAACAATTAGAAATGTCTAAAGTAGCAACAAATTTCCTTACCTGAGTTGGAAGCAGCAAAAAAAAGACTTAAATAAATGAAGAAAACAAAAAATGTGTAGAAAATGTCATTGGTTTACATTTCGGGCGGATCCGGTCCAATACGGCCAGGCCCGGCCAGGCCCGGTGTTTGACAAGCGCCTGTCATTGAAATATTAAAAACACTTTAAAAACTGACAGCCAAATGAGCATGAGAAATGTTCCATCAGATGCGAGCGCTGCGGCGCAGGTAAGAGCTGTCCGCCAGCAACCGCCGGCCATAAATTACACGTGAAACGCGAAAGGCGAAAGGCAGCAGCATTGAGAGAAAAGTTGGCCAAATCAAATGAAACGAAATAAATAAATTTGCATTAGCCGGGCTTAGCGGAAAAATGTCTGGGCTAATAAAAGCTGGCAATAAAAAGCACATAAAATTAGTTGGACGCACAAAATACCGCAACAGCAACAACAGCAGCAAATGTATCTGTCGCCACAGCCAACACACAAAAACACACACACACACACACACACACACACACACACACACACAGAGAGATGAAATTGTTTTTATTATTGATTTACGCTGTTTTCCCCCCACCCACATATACAAATTATATATATTATTTATAATAGCCGTCCCCTTTCATGCCGGCACTATTTTCGGCTGCGCGTGTAGCGGCACACACAGGTGAAGCAGCATTGACACCAATTCCTTAATTCCATTCCATTCCATTTTGTTTCTGAATTGAGTTGAGCAATCCGAGCCACAACAAAGAGCCACACGGCATTTCATGAGCTCCAATCGCACGACAAGTCTAATATTATATTCTTTATTGTTTTAAATGTTGCTATTGTTGTTGTTGTTGTTGTTGCTGTTGCTGGTTTGGCATTCGTGCGACATAAATTTGTGTGCAGCTTTCATTTCACATGCTGTCAAAATATATTTTGCGTCTTACGAACTGTCAAAGCATTTCCCACCGTTTCTTACACTGATTTCTATTTTCTATTTTATTTTAAAGTTCATAAAACTTGGCATTTTTAATGGCAATATATTTAGCTTTAACCATTTAATGCAAATAAACATTTATTTCTGTTTAAGCAAGAACAGAACAGGAACTGGTAAGCCTAGCAGCTGTTAATGCAGTCTAAGCTGCTTTTAGCAGACGCTCAACATGTTAAATAACATCTCCCTGCTAAAGCTTGTAGCGATTAACAGTTAGCAAAGTGAAGCTGCTGTCTTAAAAGAGCTTGCTATTAATTAACAGCGCACTGCTAAACCAAGCAGCTTTAACAGTTCTCTAAGACATTTGGCTCTAATACCGCTAAATTTAAATATTTTGCGCTTTAGAAGTGGTTTAGCCATGAAATCGTGCTCATAAATAACATTCCATCAGCCAGAAAATAGATTAAGATACATAGCAGATATTCTTTAATGAACCCCTCTATCTTACCCTCAGCCTCGCTCTCTCTCTTACTCTCTATAGACTATATATGTGTATAAAACACTATCAATCAACTTCAATTGGCCTGCGTAAGCGCCAAATAGTTGGCCAGCTCAACAACAGCAACAACAACATTAAACACTAAAGCAACAATTGCAGAGCAAAACAAACAGAAAACATTTGATGCGACTATCAAAATTCGTTTGAAATCTATTTGGTTTTTTTTACATTTCACAAATTGATATTAATTTGCAGACACTTTCAATACCGTTGAGAACGGAAAACAAATTTGCATGCTGAACGAGCAGATACCCTATAAATCAAAGATTCACTGGATAAGTTGCAGATAGTTGAATTTATTTGAATTTGATCTATTCACTCCCTAGTCTTTTGCTGCTGCTGAGCATACCCCTGCCTACGCACCTTTAATAATTACAGGGTATACGAAATATAAGTGTAAAATGCGAAACGGCTTTTTCCACGTTGCGTTAATAATTTCTGTTATGAAAAATTGATTGAACTAAATGAGCTGGTGACACACTTGTTGAGTGTTGACTGTCGCACACAAGCACACACGCACACACACACATACATATGCATACGCAGACAAACAGCGTCAGAAACCCCGCCATTATGTTGATGAAAAAACCCATAAAATTTGTTTGGTGTTTTAATATGCTGCTTTTTGTTGTTGTTGCTGTTGTTGTCGCTCTGGTTGTTGTTGCTGCTGTTGCTGCTTCTCTTTGTGGTTCAAATTTTTAACAACTTGCATATTTTATTAAGATGAGCCGAATGGCCGACAGATTCATTTAATAAAAGCGTCATTAAACGAGCAGCAAGAAATAAATTTTCCGAAAATTATTAACTGAAATTTTGAACGCGACCAGAAAGTGCTGTAATACAAACAGCTGCTGTCTGTTGTTGTAGTAGTAGTTGTTGTTGTTGTTGTTTTATATATATATTTATTTATGTTTTTTAATGGCATTTAAAATGGGAGCAAAGTCGTGAGTTAATGTGGAGCCCTAATTAGAGCGATTAGCATAGGTAATGGGGCAGCCGCTGAAAGCCGTCATCAAAAATGCCATAATTCCCAATTACTTTAGGCACTTTAGCTGACTGTGCCCGCATGTGAAAGAGAGGGGAGGTGGGGGGAGAGAGTCTGAAATCAAATTGTATCTGAATCAATTAACTGCGTAATATCAATAAAACGAAAAGAATGTATAGAGGAGCGACTATTGTGAAAGTGAAAATGCCAAGGGAACGTGCAACGAACTCTGCTTTAGATTGCGCTTGATTGTGGCGAACAAGAGGCAGATACAAGAAAAAAAAAAAAAAAAAAAAGGAAAAAACAAACTATAGATACAGATACATTTACAGCTATAGCTACAGCTGCAGCCACAGAAACAAGGTATGCCAGCGCACAGAGCCATTAATTTAGCTGCACATGCGAGTGCCCCTATGAGCGGCGTCTGTCTGCAGGCGGTTAATTGGCTTAAATTAAGGTAGCGATCAAATAGCAGCAGCAGCAGCAGCAGCAGCAGCAGCAACAACAAAGACTCCCATTGTGAGATACACACAGCGAAACTCCATTTTGTACCTTGCAACGGGCCTGGGCCCAGTCGCAGATACAACAAAGTTGCTTATTTACCAAGCGGCTCGGCGGCCATAAGTATCTCACACACACGCACACACAGAGAGACGTTTACCATGTGCGTGTGTGTGTGTGTGTGGCAATTGGCTGACCCTCGGCATCGCCAGCGACGTCGTCATTGAACAAAGCAATCTTCGAGATACTTTTTCTTTTTATTTTGTTGTTGTTGTTTTGCTTCTTCTGCTGCTTCTTTTTTTCGTCTGCTGGCTTCCACGTTCTTTATGATCTCCTTTTTCGCATGCTTGAACGCTTTTTTAAACTGATTAAGTCGACTCTTCAGCCAATGTGTGCGTGTGTATGTGTGTGTGTGAAAACCAGTTCCACTCTTTTCTTTTTCTGCTTTTGATTGGCGTATGAGATCATCGCCTTTTACGTGGAAACGTTGCGTGAAGGCAACCACAATGGCAATAAACCACTCGGCTCGGCGGTGGTGCAGTGGTTGGGGAATCAGGGCTTTGGCAGCGGTAAAGTTGATTTGCCACGAAATTAAAGTTGATCTCCAGCCGGAGTTGACTTCGGCCACACGGCAACAACAACACACGCAGATCGCTTTACGGCTGAGGGCCTTCGCCTTCGTCTCGCTTGCCCCTTGCCGCAAAGCGCGGCTCCACTTGCCTTATTTATGTGTGGCATGGCATTTAGCTCTTTCTGCTTATCGCCCATACACATCTCACAGTTAATTTGTTTTCATTAAAAACAAAAGGAGCACAAGAAACGAAGAGCTGCTTAATTGCAAAATATCCATCCTGAGTTATTTCAGCTACATTTACGTTCATCTTGTGCAATGATTAATAATCAAAGTTGATCGACAAAAAAAAAAAAGCTTTAAAAATTGTAAAATTGTTTTCCTAAATTGTTTCGTTGGGGTATATAATATAATATATAATATTTTTATTAATATTAGCTAAGCTAATGTGTACTTTAATATATTTTTTCAATTTTAATCTTCAAGTACAAAATTCCTTGAAAAACGAATAACAGCAAAAAGTCCTTTAAAAAAGAAATAGATGAATAAAAGAAAATAAAAACAGGAATATTATAAAATAATTTAATTTATTTATAAAATCTTATTTGCATTTAAAAATAAATATTATAGACTTATATTGTAATATATTCATTTATTTCATTATTTTTATTTAATTATTTCACAATTTTTAATATTTATTTTATAATTCAAATTATTTTATAAATATACTTTTATATAATATATATTTTTCTTTATTTAATTTTACGCATAACATTATCTTATCTATATAAAATAAAATACTCAATAACTCGAGATTGGCTAGGCCGATTATGATTATTTTGTTGTTTTTAGAGTTTTATTCGGAGTTGGATTGGAATAGTTTAATAGGAATTAAAATATGATATGAACTATTAATTGTAACTTACTAAAAAATAAGTAAATAAAATATGATATAAATAATAAATATACATTTATCTAACAAAAATTTTCCTTAATCAATTCAAAGTCATTATCTTTTATAGGCATTCTTCATTCGTCCATTCTTTCAGTGTATTGTCTGCAACCCAAAAAAAAAAAAATATTTTTTTTTTACTAATTTTCTGTCCATTTCTGTTCTCTACTGCTTGCAGTTTCCTCTTTGGCCTCCAGTTTGCACCACCACCAAGCCCACAACAAGCCCAGCAATGCGGCCGCCAACCCAGAGCTGGCCAGCAGCGCCACAGCCAGCGCAGCTGAGGACTGTTTGGTTAACTGCACGCAGTGCCACAAGCGCTTCACCGACATACAGGTAAATTTTTGCTGGAGCACCTTTGGTAGTTAAGCTCACCTGTAACCTCTTACCGTTCACCTTTCACCTGTAGTCCTTCAGCGAGCACATTGCCAGCGAACATCCGCATGACAAACTCAACTATGAGTCGCATCGTGCGGCAGCTGAGGCTGCGCAGCCGGAGAGCGAGGCGGAGGAGGATGAGCGGAGCAATTTGAGCAGCAGCAGTCGTCGCTATGCCAAATCACCAAGCACCAACAACAACAACAACAACAGTGAGACAGCCAAGAATCAAAATAACAACAACAGCAACAGCAGCAGCCATAGAAGCCAGCATTCACCTCTCTGCTCACCTGTGGCGGCCACGCCCAACGATCTGTTTGCCCACCTGCCGCACACGCCGCCGCAGCTGCCCGCCCACTTGCACGCCCAGTTCATGGCTGCCGCTGCCTTTGCCATGCAATCCGCCCGTTCCGCCAGCTCCCCCAGCCAGCAGCAGCAACAACAACAACAACAACTGCAGCAGCAGCAGCAGCAACAACAGCAGCAGCAACATTCGCCGCAACTGCAACAGGCACTGCTGCTGCCACCGCCGCAGCCCGGCAGCAACAGCAGCGTCGGCAGCAACTCCGCCTACGACCTGGACTTGAGTGCACCGCGCTCCACCTCCAGCCCGGGCTCCACGACGGGCGACCTGGGCGCCGCCTTTCCCTGCATGCAATGCACCGCCGCCTTCGCCAGCCGCGAGCAGCTCGAACAGCACCAGCTGCTGCACTCGCCCACGGGCCCCCAGACCACACAGAATGTGACACAGGTGAGCCAAGGTTTCAAATGTAACCCGAACTATCTATATATCTGTATATCTATCTATATGATACGTTTGGCTAATATGTAATTATTATCCATATTAACTTATTCATATTAACTACCCCATTCAAAGATTGAGCTCAAATGAACTTTTTAGAAAGTAGCTCCGCTCATATTTGAACCAGTTGTCAAAGCTGCAGCTGAGTTCGTTTTAGCCTAAAATTTCTGGTTTATTTTTGGCTTTAATTTTAAGGCTCTTCAAGTCAACTTTTTACATGAATGAAATGAGATTTAAAATTTGAGATTTTGGCTCACAATTTTGAACTAGTTTATTCATGCTAGGGAACTCATAAAGAGAGATTTAAAATTTGAGATTTTGACTCGAAGTTACGCATACAAATTTGAACTAGTTCATTATTTCTATTCTTGGGACTAGCAATAATATTTATTTGCAAAGAGTTTATAAATTTTGGTAATTTCAAACTAAATGAATCAAAAAACAATATACTTTATTGGGTCTACCACGCCTTCTTCTGCCAGCATACCCTAAGTTCCTATATGCAATGGGCTCACCGTATATTAACTAAAATTTTTTTGTTGGTATGGTATGCTTGTAATTATCTTATCTTCCTATACAACTGCCTATGCTATATACAATATCTACATGCATGGTTATATATTGTACTTCACACCCAGTGATTCAGCAATCGCTCAAGTCGGCCGACTGATAAAAACAATGTTTCTTATAGAGACTTGGTTTTTGCCTGTGCTACTGTTGTTGTTGTGCTGGGTTGAAGTTCATGTTGAGTACGATTGAGCATTGAAGTGCAAGTTACTCATGAGATGGATCCAATACCGCTTGCCCGCCTCCTGCCAGCAGCTACCAGTTAATTTAAGACTCTCGCTCCAAACTGATCAGCGACACGCACAGCATTCGCCTCTCGGTTGATCTTTGAGCAACGAACATTGAACACAATGCACAGGCTTTGTTCAGACTTGTGTTGTAGTTGTAGTTGTTGCTGTTATTGTTGTTGGCATCGCATGTGAACGGAAAATGGGCAACGATAACGTAAGACGGATAACAACGGTGCCAAGCACAACGTCAACCTTATGCATGTGCCCACGTTTCCTGTTGACACAATATGAATTATATATAAGCATATATACACATGTATATGTGCATGTATATGTTGGATTTATAAAATATATCGAAGGCAAATGAGAAAATAATTAAGTCCCAGATAAAGCCTAAAACACATGGGACAGGCCAGTTTCTGTAGTATTTCTATATAATTTCTGTGCAATTCCTTTGTAGTTTTTTTTCTGTTCTTTTTTCTGTGAAGATAACACATATACTTGAGGTTGTAGCTACACTCAAGAGGTTTTCTTTCCGTGGAATTAAAATGAATTTCTCTTCTTCTATGGCTGCTTACGTAAAGTTTATCAGCAAGGCAACAACAAGCGACAACAACAACAAGCACTATAAACTATGATAAGCAACACCGTCATAATAAAAAAAAGAATAGGCACAACAAAATAACAAAAACAACAGCAGCAGAACCAAACTGAACTGGCATTAAATAAAAACGTAGGCGTTTACCAAAAACCCACACACGCACACACACACACACACAAAAGTATTATCAGGGGAGCATTGGCTACGGCCAAAAAAGAAACCGAGTGAGATACAAGGCACAATGGAGTGAGATAGCAAGTGCGTGCGTCTGTCACACTTTGTGGCGGCCTATCATAAGGTCTGAGAGCGTAAACACACACACACACATATATATATATATGTATATAGTATATATGGGTGTAGTATATAGAGTCTGGCATGTCAGTCACACACTCGTAACTCCCAATTGTGCAGTTGTTGTTGTTGTTGTTGTTTTCTTTCTTTTTTGTTTTTTGCGTTCGTCTTGGGCTGCCCATGTGATAAGGCATTAAAATAAATGTTGCTACAGGCAGGCCCTGATAAGACATACTAACACTTACGGCCAACCCACTCCAGCTCATATATATATTAATAAAAAAAGCACGGAGAGTGTGAGAGTGAGAGAGGGAGAGAGAGCGCGTGAGTGTGAGAGGTAAGACTGGTCTGCCCAAGAAGCCCAGCGATAAGCAGCAAGTTCTGTTTGCAGGGTGGGGCACACACACACACACACACACACACAGCATGCACCTTGTGGCATGCGGCAGCCAGCGGCTATTAAAGCCACATAAATTATAATTTTGTTGCATTTTTTTTTGGTTCCCCTTCCACTCGCCCAGCCCAGTCCAGCCACAGGCAGTCAACGCCCCCATCAGGCATTTCGGGTCATAAATTCATATGTGGCTAGTTCGCCTAACTTTTTTTTTTTTGTTACTCTTTTACCTTGCTGCAAGTGGAGCCAAAATGAAAAAGTTGAACAGCTTCTGATTACACATATATGAGACTAAGCGGGCCGTTGCTACAGTGATAAATGCCTATAATGGCCAGCACAAATTTGATGATTTGTTGGTGGAAAATGCAGAGTTAACAAAAAGTTGAGCCGTAGGAGGAGGAGTTGAATGTATATGTGATAGCTAAGTTATTATATATGAAATAACATAAATGATATATGAATATATAACAAATTAGCAAATATTAATAAATATTCTATTTAATATATGAAATATTACAAATTTATTAAATTAAATTAAAATTAAAAATGTTATATGAATATATAAAAATTTGTAATGATTCATACATCATTTTTCATTTTAATTAAATTTTCTAAATTAATATTAAAATTAAAAATTATTTATGAATTGATTACAAATTTATCAAATTAAATTTAAAAAATTTTTTTTTATATATGTTAACAATATAATAAAATAATATATGATACAATAAAATAAAAATTTAAAATAATTGAACAACTACAAATTCATTAAACTTAACTAAATTATTTGTAACTTTTAATTTATTTGAAATTTTATTTTATTTAATTTATTTATATTTTTATAATAGAACTAAAAATAAATTAAGCTATATATAATTTATCAATTTTATTTGAGTTCCAATTTCTAAGTCTGTGTATATCAGCTATATATAATTTATCAATTTTATTTGAGTTCCAATTTCTATGTCTGTGCATATCAGCTATATATAATTTATCAATTTTATTTGAGTTCCAATTTCTATGGCTGTGTATATCAGCTTCCGTTCAGCTTAGGCCGTGCTCACTGTGGCAGCTGCAGCACTTTTTTGCCGTTGCTTTTCTTTGGGCCAGTTGCTGGCTGGTTATTAATATTTACCTAAAACCCGTCAAAAAGCTAATAAAGCTGCAAGGGCCCGAGTGAAGTTGCTGTGTGAGGCTGAGTTTATTAAGCGCTGGCGGCCAACCTGTTTGCACTTTTGCTGCAGCTGTGGCTGGGATGGGGGCAGGGGTAGGGGCAGGGCTAGGGGCGGGGACGTGTGGTGGGCGTCGCACATAATTTACGGCTTTGTTAATGACATTTAAACATTGAAACACATTGAAACACAAATGGCAACAGGATATTGGCCAGCAGCACAACAACAACAACAACAACATTGGCCTGACATATTGCAACTATGGCCAATGCGCATTTATAGCCATATTTATAATTGATGGGCCAAACGAGAGGGGGTGGGGTGAGTTGAGGTGAGGTGAGGGCAGAAGTTGCTCGTTACACGTGTATATGCGTATTAAATTATTATGTGTGAAAACAATTAATTATGCATATGCAAAAAGCAATACGGCAGCAGCGGCAATCGCTGCACAAATTGCTCATTATGGAAATCACGCACATAAGTAGGCAACACTTTTTTACGCCCATTCGCCAGCCTCTGTTGGCCAATTGTTATTGAAAAGCCATTTAAATTGGCCGCAGACGGAGAGCACACGCGGCTTTAATGTTAACAACGCGAAACATTTCTGCAGCAAAGGTCAACATCATTAACAGCGAGCCCAACAGAAAAGGATAGGCACATGTGCATAAAAAGAGACAGAGAGAGAGAGAGACAGAGAGAGAGAGAGCGGGCCATAATTGTTGAGCAAATGGCGGCACATAAATTATTGGTCAAAACTCAAAACAAATAAAACAAAGTGACGCAACTGGCAAAGTTTCAGCGAGTGCCGCAAAAAGTGCAGCAATTAAATATTTGCTTAACTGCGCCTGCACACACACACGCACACACACACACACACAGACAGGAGTCGCAACTTTTTGGCCACAATTCATTTGGGTCCGTCCACCTTTCTGGCCACCACAAACTGGTTTTTGGCCATGTGTCTGCACACGAAACATTTCAAATTGAAAAATTATATGCACTTTAGGTGACCCATGATCCCGCTCCAGCTCCAGCTCCAGCCCCAGCTTCAGCTTCAGCTCCACTGACATCGTCGTCTCGGCGCCATTCGCCACTTGACGAACAGCGCTGAAAAATTAATAGCAATTTATTTACTCCACTGCCGAGCAGCCAGCCATGCCCATTTCCACCGTCCACAGTCATTTTCCCCCGACTTTTCACCGCTTTTAAATGCCATGTTTTTTTTTTTTTGTTGCTTTTTTTATGTATTTCACTCTGCCTCCTTCACTCTCTCTCTCTCTCTCTCTCTCTCACTCTCTCTCTCTCCTCGCCTGTGCATTCGTACAAAGTTTAAAAATTATTTGCAATTAAAGCAAACAAATTAAAAACACCATTAAAAAAAATAAAAAACGCACCGTGGCTGAAATATTTATAACTTTTAAGCGCTTGTTTACAAATAATGAAAATTTATTGGAATTTATAATGCAAACTTTGTTGAATTCAGTCAAATTAAATGCGTGCTGCATGCAAATAAATATATGTATATTTACGCATATACCTATATATATCACCTAGCATGACATTGATTGTTAATTTGATTTGATTTAAGATCATGCGAATCAACTGGGATCAGGTCTCACAGCTCTAAAGCTGTTCATCATTTACCCAATTATAAATTTTTTTATTTTTATTTTGTAACCACAACTTCCACT